TGGATGATCAGCGATGCTAGTCTAAACTGGTATTATGGTAAAAGTTATACATTTAACTTTTTTAACTTGTCCTAATTATCCAGCTTCAGAGTGTTTTACAACCTGACTGCCGTTTCTCCAACTTCACCACATATAACCACAAGCAAAATTAATAGCAGTGCTGGATCTGGATCTGGAATCCTACTATTCCATCTTTTCATTTATATCAATAGCTGCCACTTTGGTACTTTGGCTGTTGAGCGATGATAGACCAGGATAGGAAAGTTTCGCATTTGCTGAACTATTACGCTACAGAATGTTCGAAATACCGATTGATAGTTTTTCGTCCATTGCGTTCCACCCAATCCCATTAACATTGATGAATGCTAGGGAATTGTGCTAGAAAACAGACTGAGACATCTGGTATTGGGCTAGTTACTACCCATTTAATTCAGAATAGTATGTCTTGTAATTTTTAAAATTACGGGTTAAATTTATTAGCATATTTAGAAAACGCAAAAAATGCCACATTCTGTCTTTGCATGATAACACTAGCAGCGGAATCCCATGTTGATTTTGCTTTTATCCAGCAAAACTGGCTGGCATCTGATCTAAAATAAGAATGTATCCACCTACAATTACATGAGGTACCTTCATGTCTCCAAAAGGTACTCTTATTCCGCCTAGACTGGACAGCAGTTTTTAACCCCATCTAGGTCTCAACTGCAACCCCGGCGGGACTCAAACGTGGATTGTGGTAGTGCAGCGTATAGTCTCGACAAGCGAAAAGTCACGTTGATTAGACATAGGCGACGTTCAAACTATGTGAAATCCAATAGAAATATATGATTGTCGAAAAATTCATCACTTTAAACTAAATTCGGTGAATACAATTTTCATTCAATATGTACTGGCTGTCTTGAAGGGTTGGATGGCGAAACCTGTAGGCAGAAGATCATTGATCTTGCCAGCTGTACTGTCACAGACGACGGGCTGCCAGGCCCATGCTCAGGCATATACGAAGGAGACATGCATCACATGCCACAAAATGACTCCCTCTTCTTGAACACTGGCATGGGCCCGCCTAAGAACTTCGGTCAGCCCGATGGCTGAACAAACCGTTTGTCCATGGCTCGGCTGTAGGAGTCGGGCCCGCCGGATTCAGGATTCAGACACCTGCGTCACTCTACCTGGTTCACGTGGCCCGGGTACCAGTCTCCCCCAAGCCTTCTCCCCTCCAACCTCATTCCACTTCACTCCACTCCGCACCACCACACCACACCACCTTACCCCACCCATCGTCAGGATGACGAGGCTGGCCTGGTCCTCACTTTTGAGGCCAGATTTTCCCATCTGAATGCCACCATTCCCAGTGGACAATTCGATCTTTCAATCTCTTTCGTCCTGTCATACCATCTGCCCGTGAGATGGCCCTCCTAGGACGGACAGCCACCCTGTGAACTTTCCAAAACACTTCAATGGAGTGGGGTGGAGTAGTGTGGAGTAGTGGAGCGTAGTTGGGAGTAAAGTGGAGTAGAGTGGAGTGGAATATTTTATGTCTATAAGATGGATGGCATCATCAATCCTTCAGCTTTCAATTGAGAAAGTGTTGAGTTTAATGAAGAGGTGGGACCATTTCAATATCTGGCCTGGACAACGCAGAGGGGAGCCGTGTTAGCCCAACGAGGGTCTGGTACACGTTTTCCCATCTGTCGGCACGTGATAAGTCAGGAGCTGGGTCATTTATATGAATGGTCAGGCTTGAACTGGCCCTTGTTTGCCCGTCTGTCCACTTTGACTTGAATGTGTAGGCATCCATCTGGTTGGCTGGTTGGCTGGAGC